GCGTATGATATTCTGTGTCAGCTGCGTCACGCGGATATGTTTTCTACGGTATTTATGCTTTGATTTGAACGAAAACAGCGCATCCGTGCAGCGCGGCTGACACAGAAGAGCGTACGCTGCTTGTATCCAGCGGATATTCTCCAAAATGGCGCTAAGGGGATGCGGAGAGACACAGAGGAGACGAATTGTTGAATAAAGTCGTTATTTTTGTTTTCTTCGAGTACAAAAAGTATTCTCGTCGCTTCATAACGTTACGGTTGAACCACTGATGGCAGATGGACTATTCTGACGATGTCTTTCATACTTTTCTGGACCTTGACAGTGTAATTTACTTGGCAGTCAATGTGACAGTCACAAGCCCCCCGGTTCTCATTCAAAATATCTTAAATTGTGTTCCGAAGATGAACGAAGTTTTTACGAAGTGTTGTTTTTTTATTCTTTAAGCATTGCACAACAACTATGTTGAAGTTGTGGTTTATTAAAGCATTTAGACACAAGAAAAATGTAAGCAACATTGATTGTTGATGCATGTAGTTTTAACCATGAAAATACGTAAATGAATGCATTTTAAATCATATATCATTTAATATATCAGAAATAACAGTTTTAAACATTGATAATAATAATAAAAAATGTTTCTTGAGCAACAAGTCAGTGTATCAGACCGATTTCTGAAGGATCATGTGACACTGAAGACTGGAGTAATGATGCTGAAAATTCAACTTGGCATCATAGAAATAAATTACATTTTAAAATATATTCAAATAGAAAAGTTATTTTAAATGGCAAGAATATGACTGTTTTTACTGTATTTGTGATCAAATAAATGCAGCTTTGGTGAGCATAAGAGACTTCATTCAAAAACATAAAATATATTTTTTGATATCACAAAACAAAGACACTATGATTTACTAAATGTAACACTCAAGTGTACAATATTATCTGAATTAAGGCCTGTTTATATTATGACTACATTAATGTGATCAACTGTAAAGGACAGGATTTTGTACGATACTGAATCTTTTTATAAAAAGAGTTAGCATTAGTACACAAATCTTGGTGTAGTTTAAAAAGTTTTAAAATAAAAAGAGCATTAGATTACCTATGCTGGAAGTGTAGTCCGTGGCTCCGAAAATGAGCTCAGGGGCTCTGTAGTAGCGCGAGCAGATGTAGGAAACATTAGCCTCACCACGCGCCAGCTGCTTAGCACTGCAGGAGACAGAAAGAAACAGACCAAATGAGAGAGACTGACAAGAGAGAATTAGACATAACCAGAAATTACACCAACACATCAAAACAGCCATCATTCATTGGACACATTATCATCACAAGAACAATAATCATGATCATTATCGCCAAACAGCCAAACTAGTTTAAAGCAGTTTAATCAAATAAAGTCAGTCATAGATGTAGATCAGAATGCTCAAAAATGTGTCTGATGATGGGATTTGATCCGTGAAACAGTCACATTCACGCATGAGACTTGTTCAGTAGCTGTAAAATTGCCAGATTAAGTTTTCCAGTGAAGGTACTACATCACACGAGCAACGTCTTTCTGTGTTTTTATATTGCTGCCATTCACACGCCATCACCACAGTGTCCTCATTCCCTTCCCAACTTCATGAGGTGCATCCTGGGATGCTTTTGAGTTGACATTCTGTATATGATGGACACTTGTTGCATGCTCTTCCTTCACTATTCGCTCCAAATGATCGAATTGTAAGGACACACAAACGTTTTCTATTTGACTATATTTAAAATTTTTCAGCATCATTACTCCAGTCTTCATATATGAATATGTCACAAGTCCAGTCTTCTGATTTGCTGATTTTAGGGGTGCTCCGATTGATCGGCTACTGATCGCTATCGGCCGATAATGGCTTTGGGAAGTTTGATTGGCGATCTCTATAAAGGCCGATCTCATAAAACCGATCTCAAGCTGACGACGCGCCTGCCGTGAGGTGTTTGGCATGACATGCAGCGGCACCGTCGCAATCTCTGTCCAGCGCAGGTCAAATAATTATACTGCTGAAGATGAGGTACAATTCATATTTCTTAATTAAATAACTTACAAAGTAATTTGAAAACTTTCTGTGAGACGTAATTTCACAAACAGCGTGAGTGAATCACCGTGCGCGCTCTCTTTACCTCTAAAAATGCGCAGATGGCTTCAAATCAGCACATCGCGTCTGCACTATAAGCGAGCTGCACAGTTCACGCAGGAATTGTCACTTGCACAATCGAGGCAGTGTTGCATCTTCACTAAAGTTTATAATTTGCATTTTTTCTTTTTAGGTCTTGCCAGTGTTTAAACCATTCAGCACTTGTGCATTCTCCTAGAGACGGTGTGCTCATGCACACTCAAAGCGCGCACACATGAGGCCGCCTCACATACAGCTCGCAAAATCAGGCTTGTGCTGTGTGTAAACTATTGTGCAACAATTGCCCCATTGTTAAAACAAAAATGCACTGCATGGTCAAACATTTAGGTGAGATAATTATATATTTTTGAAAAATGTCGTTTAGCAGGTTTTTCTGGCTTAGAGCTGTTCAAGGCAGTGTTTGCTGAAAGAGATGCTTTGGATTAGCCACTGGGGACTAAATATAGTAACACAATATTGTACATTTTTTATAAAAGCAGCAGTGCAAACCCATGGTTAGAGAAACAGCAGGTTAAATAACTGAAGCTCAACAAACAGCTCACCGAAAAAGCAGCGAATCCAAGCCCTCTTTAACACAGAGCATGCGGGGCGTCCAAGCATAATGTAATTAAAATGTCCTGTACCTCAGTACTGACCTTCCGAGTCCAAACTCACACAATGGTCTTCTAGTAGACTATCAGAGCTGACTAATGATTCTGAGTCCATGTTCTCAGCATCAGAGCTATCCTGGTCAAACTCAGGCAGTCTGAAGGCCAAATCGTTCCTAAACGACAAACAGAAGATTTTGTGAACTGTACAACAGAGGTACTAATAATTCTCAAAAACATCAGCACAAGCCTAATCTGTGCCCTTGGACAAAGGTTAATGAGGTTTGAACATAAGATCAAAATGCACATGTGAACTGACACTACTTCACTGTAAATTAAGCACTAGAAACAAATAACAATTTGTAATTATTTTCCCAGGAATTTCCCAAGAATAATTAATGAATGAAACAATGTTAAACACGTATTTCTCAACTTACTTTTCCTTCTTAATGGACTTGATTCTCTCAAGCAGGTTCTTTTCAATTTCAAGGTTGGCTCCGTCCACTGAGGAGACGTCAGAACCTAATTTTGGCCTCTCAAATATCTAATGGAAAATGAGATCATGAAATCATGATAGGTTAGAGCCACGAGGTGTACTTTACTAACTGTTATACTAAAGGGGCTAATTATTAAGACTAGAAATGGCACATACATTTAAGCAATGAGGTACGTAAGGCTTCACTCCATTATGAATAGTTAGCCACAATGTGTCGCGGGTTGTCTACAGCTATGACAATATTCAGAATAGCATAGTCTTGAGTGGTTTACTTCTTTTATAAAATGGTTACCACATACTAAAATTATTAATTACACATTCTGATGTGATTCTTAATGAATCTGAAATATTAAGCATCTATTTTATATAGTATCTATCTTTCCACTAGAAAAAAAGTCTCATATCTACCAAGGATGAATTTATTTGTTTAAAAAATACAATTTAAAACAACTGTTTTCTATTTGAATATATATTTGAAATGTAATGTATTCCTGTGGTGGCAAGGGTGAATTATTAGCAGCCATTACTCCAGTATTCAGTGTCACATGACCTATCAGAAATCATTCTAATATGCGGATTAGATGCTCAGGAAACATTTCTTATTACTATCAATGTTGAAAACAGTTGTGCTGCTTAATATTTTGTGGAAACTGTGATACAGATCCTTTATATGAAATAGAAATCTTTTTTAACAATGTCTTTACTGTCACTTTTGATGTCTCTTTGGGGAATAAAAGTATTATTTTCTCTTCAAAGATGTTTTTTACTGACCCCAAACGTTTGAACAGTAGGGTATGCACAATTTGTATTTACTGTCAATCACCAAAAAGTTTTTAAGATTATGAGCATCAATACAGAACTTCAGGCAACGTTTCAACAATGTTTTCTTCAAGATCTCAAAATGAATGAGTGCTGGTAACTTTACAGCAGATGTTATATGCATGACAGCACCTAATTTCCCTGTCTCACCTTCCAAAGTCACAGAGTTTGAGTACAGCTGTCTCTGGGTCGAGCAAGAGGTTCTGTGGCTTGATATCTCGATGGCAGATCCCATATGAGTGGATGTACGCCAAGCTGCGGAACAGCTGGTACATATACAGCTGAAAACACATAAACAGTGACTTTAATACAGCAGAAAAATATTCCACTGTAAAGGTCCAAACGGAACAAAGACATGGCACAAACACTCATGTTTACACCAGTTACACCACAAAGTCCATGCTAGTAAGTTGTGCAGCTTTGGTTCATGAGATAGACCAGCAACAAACCAACAAGGAAAAATCACGTCTTCACAATAGTGAAAAATGTCAGATTCTATTAACAGATGTTACCTTCACATAGACCATAGGCAGATTCTGCTTGGCTCTGCTGTAGTGTCTGGACACTCGGTACACGTTCTCAGGCACATAGTCCATCACCAAATTCAGATACACCTCATCCTTCTGTGGGCATGACGACGGGTGAGGGACAAAAGGAAGAAAGTTTAGCAGGTTGATATCTAGACAACATCTTTAAGGGACCCCAAAATGAAAACATCTTTAAGTCCACCCAAAAATGAAAATTCTGTCATCATTTATTCACTCTCATGTCGGTCCAAACCTGTATGACTTTCTTTGTTCTGCTGAACACAAAAGATATTTTGAAGAATGTTGGTAATCAAACAGCTTCTGGTTGCCACTGACTTCCATTGTATTGACAAAAAATAGAATGGAAGTCAATGGGAACCAAAACTGTTTTAGGTTCCCATCTTCTTTAGGAATGACATGAGGGTGAGTAATGACAATTATCATTTCTGGGCGATATATAGATGTAAGGTCACAGGTGTGTGTTTACTAGCTGTTATATACAATAGCATGGTTCACCAGATTATCAGAAAATAAATTAACATTTCTATATGGTTATGTAATATACAAGTCATTTTTAGCTTAATTTTAAATATAACATACAATTACAGTGATATACACTATTGCTCAAAAGTTTTGGGTCAGTCTTTTTTTTTTTTATAATAATACTTAAAAAAAATTATACTTTTATTCTGCAATAGCATATTAAATTGGTCAAAAGTGACAGCAAAGACTTGTATATTGTATAGTATTTAAATCAGTGGTGTTCTTTTGAACTGTCTATTCATCAAATAATCCTGAAAAAACAGTTTTTCCCAAAAATATTAAGCAGCACAAATGTTTTCAACATTGATAATAATAATAAATGTTTCTTTAAGCAGCAAATCAGCATATTAGAATGATTTCTGAAGGATCATGTGACACTAAAACTGGAGTAATGATGCTGAAAATTCAGCTTTGCCATCACAGAAATAAATTCAAATAGAAAACAGTTATTTTAAATCACAATAATATTCCACAATATTACTCTTTTACTGTATTTTTGATCAGATAAATGCAGCCTTGGTGAACACATGTGCCTTCTTTCAAAAACTCTTACTGACCCCAAGCTTTTAAACAGTAGTGTAATATTACTCTACTATTTTTGGATTTTGGTCATACATTATCACCCACCCCTAAACCGGAGTGTTTATTCCACTGTGTATATTCACTGGAACATGTGGATAACAAGAACCTTTCAGTGGTGGTCTTGCCAGGGGAAAAGGGGGTCTGAGACTCAACACACATGAGTCACACATAGACTATTTGAACAGTCATTATTTCTCTCTCTCTCTCTGTTGCCCCCTTAGATACATAAACTCCTAAATGTAGTTGGAAAATTAACCTGCCAACGGCACCAAGCCAACCCCTGCCTCGCAACAGTGACATCCGCTCAGCGATTGTCCTGCGATTGGCCGAGTGTTTTCGGAGATGTGCTGTGATTGGCTGTTCACGCACATATACAAATCCTTAGATAAAAGAGGCTGCTAAACGACAAATATTAGTATTAATGCTCCATGCTGGTACTTTCACACTGGTAATGAGTACCAGTAAAATATTTAAATATTAAAAGATTTTTCCCCATACAATTATATATATATATA